AAGATGAAGCGGAATATCAAGAAGACATTGACATTGAAATTGAGATGTCGGAGAGTTAAAAATGAATTTCCTACAAGAATATTATTTTTCTAAAATTTTATATCAATTATTATATCCTTATGACTCTTGATACTCTTATACATTTAATGTTATGAAAATGCATATTTATTTATTTTATATCATATATCTTTTTGACTCTTGATACTCTTATACAATTATGCTTATTCATATATGTTATGAAAATGCATATTTATTTATTTTATATCATATAATATATCTTTTTGACTCTTGATACTCTTATACAATTATGCTAATTTATCTATGTTATGAAAATGTATATTATGTTAATATTTAATAAAACTATGCTAATAACATGATTTTTCTAGTTTTTAATTACATTCTCAAAAATATTATATTCATTACCATCATTTAATAATAAAAATATAAAACTATAGATCTACAGTTTTTCAATATGACATTTGCAGTTTTCTACAGTTTTTTTCTTGGCGGTCCTGGCAACACTGTCTAGAAGCCACTTCTAAAAACGATAGAATTTTCCCGGGTAATCTGGACACCCATATTGCTTTAACCGCGTTATCGGTCATTGAAGTCCCAGCTAAAGCCCGTAAATGACGCAGGAATTGAGATGGTGCCTTGTCTGCTAGGTCTACATTCGTCATCAATAACTGCATCTTTGTCTTTTTCGAAATGCGTGATCTTGTTATTAACGCTGTCTTTAATGTGGAGTAAGGCATCTCTTCAGGTTCATTAATTATTAAGTCCCTGACTTCGGTTGAATGCAAATGCCTTCGCGACTAAGGCAAACCAAAGTTCCAAGTCGTTAGGGATGATATCTGGGATGCGTAATTTATGGCAAAGAACATGTCCTTTTTATTGCGGCATTATATTTTGATCTAACGTCAACGGTCACTACTTTCGGGAATTAATAAAATTACCGAATATAATGAGATTACCTTTTATTTCAGTAAAGAATTTTATAAATTCATTTGTAAATATATAACTGACAGACTACAGTTATTTGGAAAACAAAACTGTTGAAGTTTGTTACTAAACACTCTATGTCTACTCTATGTTTATGTATAATGCTTCTCTTTTGTTTTGTGTCAATCTACACTTGTTATGTTATCTATGATCGTTAATTTTGTAATGCATGTGATTAGAAAGAATATATAATCAGTCAGTCTGTTTTCATCCTTCTGCATGAACGGTTGTATTATTATTCACATAAACTTTTAACATAAATTCTACAAAAACCCCATGGATCATTTTAATTTATCACGGTGTTTACTTCATTTTGGCGCGACCTGCCAAACTCCCACACGGTAAAAAACCAAGGAGTTGCTTCGTTTGCACGAAAATGGCTAGTCTCCGAATTTGGTTTTCTCCGATAAGAAGTCATTCCAAATTGAGCGGTTTGTGAACAAACAAAATGATCGGGGTTTTTAGCCAAAGAGGCTAGCTGAAAATTTACACCTTTGATTGGCCATCAGAACCCAAGCGCCGGCGACGTTAATGGTGTGAACCACCGTAACGGTCGATGATCACTTTCCGCTTGTATTTATTGATCATGGGATCCAAATAATTGCCGAAATTATCGGAAAAGGCCTTAAAAGCAGTATTGAAGCTCTGGCTAGACAAATATTTCGGCCGCAGACCATGGACATTTCAACAGGACTCAGCAACATCGCACTCAGCACGCGTCAACTGAGAATGGCTTAGAAAAAAAAACGTTTCTCGCTTCATTTCCACCGCATGGTCATCAAAATCTCCGGATTTCAATTCGTTGGACTTTTGCGCCTGGGGCATTTTGGAGAGTAAGGTTTGCACTAAAAAATACCAAAGTATCGATCTTTTCAAGAAGGCGCTTCGCGGGCATTCGGCCAAAATACCCCAGAGCCACTTTCGTGTAGCGGGTTATGGCTTTGTCGGCCGTTTGAAGACCATAATTCGTGCTAAATGCGGCCAATTAGAACAAATCAAAACTGATTATAAAATTTTATGTTATTTCCGACATTTTTGCTTTTGAACAATAAAATTTAAACAAAAATGCAAAAAATATAGCGCTTTACTTTGTTGCATTACATATTAGCTATCCTATATATGAGTTTTATCAATTTTACTTTAATTCATGGAATTTTACTTAAAATTTTTCATACAAAATGGCAAAGAAGAAATACTTAATTTGTTTTCTATCTTTCGTCGCAGAATTTTGAAAATTATGTATAAGTTTAGTAGTATTATATACAATTATTCAAGAAGAATCTGAAAAACTGGAAACGTAATTAGTATTTTTTTAATTATCGTTTAAAACTATATAAGTCGAAAGACTAAAACGACTTGGAATGGATTATACCAGGTTTTCCATAGAAAGTGGATAAAACTCCCAGTTTGATTGTATCAACAAAATAAGGTCAAACGAATGAATGTTAATGAACCACCCAAACATCATGACCAAAAATTTACTAAAAAACCATCGAACGGCTCAGAAGAAAACGGTTCCTTTTTAATATCCTTTAGTAATCCTATAATATGTACAAATACTCGTAGGCTTTTTTTATGTTTTTCACATCAGGACTACATTTATAAGCTAAACATAACCAACATCGAATCGGATCACCGCTGGGAGACCTTTTGACCTTTTTCCTTATTTAATAAACCATTAAAATTATTGAATGTTGTTTATAACGATAGATTGTAATTCACAAATGTAAATAAAAAAAAACTTGCCAAAAAAGGTAGTAGTATTGTAATACTTTATTATCTAAAGCACTCATACAACACATCCTTACCCACTCAAAATAAAGTATATTTTTTTTAGATTCTCTAGAAATTGTTTAAAAATACCTTACTTTTTATTTATATTACAACGTTTACCGGGTCAGCTAGTAATATTATATATTCATTTACGGATCTTGATGTTTCATGGTTAGGCACTATAACTCAACATGCTAGTTGAATTCATTATCACGCGTCTGATAATTTCGCGCTTTAGCATATTTAAAAATCATATTTTTCAATCTTCCTGTTCAGAATTTATTATTTATATGTGACATGTTGGAGCAGTTTATTGTGAACACCCAAGAATAAATAACGTATTTCTAACGAGGTAATGTTATATCGAGGAATTATGTTTTTTTTACATTTTTTATTTACATTTGAAATCTATGTATTTTTAAAACTTGATTGATTATATTTATATTTACTTACTGTTCCTTAATTGTTGAATTTTCTTCATTGTTGAGACAGTATTTTTGTTTTCCAATTTCTCAACCGCTTGCTGAAAATATACTTGAAGTATATTTAAAATAATCACTGTCACTATTTATTGATAAAAGTTCGATGGTGAAAATGATCAAAATGCTTGTGCTTAAAAAATCTAAAGACTTATATGATATATAATTAAAGTTTTATTTTTAAACGGACTCATTATTATTGTATACAAAATGACTATCACACGAATGATTATCCGAATATCCTCTAGACACCGTGTTAATAAAATTGAAACATTATTTATTAATAAATTTGTGTTAGCAAACCAAGGGTTGATGGTTTCTTATTATTACTATTTTGCACTTATTTTTCTATTATTTTTCTACTGTTATTATTTGTAAAGCTGCCCGAGGCGGGTATCGAACCTGGGACCTTTGATTAAAATCTCATAACTTTAACCACTAATTGGTTGGAGAAGCCTCTTAAAAGTTTTTGATAAACAAAAGTTTCTCGATTAGATTTCTATTTTTTTCTCAAAAATATTCTTGCTGTATAATAGAAATTAAATATATTACTAAGCGTTAAAAAACAAAGATTGCATTTTATGTTTGATAGATATCCGTAACGGCGTATTTTTCACGAAATTCATTAAAATACAAGTGTAACAAATTCGGTAATCATTTTTTTACGCATATATAATCTGAAACATAAAAACGTATGATTTCTGTAATCTGGAACATAAATTCATAAGATTAATTATTATTATTAATTACAATAAGATTATAATGATTTTATTTCAATAAGTTTTTAAACGTATGTATTATTCAGGTATATAATATTTCGAAAAGAGTTTTGAATTGTGAATTAGTATGAATATGAACTAAAATACAATTAGATACAAGTAAATATCAATAACAAAATTGAAGATGACATCTTTAACTTCCCGTAGGGCTAGTTATAGTAATCGAAAAAAAAAATCGAAAATGAAATTTTTTATATAACTTTACGTTTCAGAGGTTTCTGAACATTTTAGCATACCTTAGAAAAATGGATGCATGTGTGTATGTGTGTGTGCTGATTAGTTTTTGGCATAGGTAGGTCTAGCCGTTACGAAGATACGGAGCAAAAAGTGCCAAAAACGGTAACTCAGTTTTTAGGAGAAAACGGAGCGTCCGATTTTAATAATTCAAAAACCATTTTACTTGTATTGACAGGATGCAAAACTGATTAAATTTTTGGAAAGGCAGGTCTTGCGGTTTCGAGATCTAGTAAAAAAGCAAAAGAAAATGCCATTTTGAGGTCAAAAATGATCATTAGACATATACACACCAAATTATCGGATATTTTATGGAGATTTTAATAATGTGTAACATTGTTTGTCTGTTAGACGGCGACGCGGCGCTTACGTGCTTCGATATTGCAGCTACAGCAGTGCGTCTCTATGCAGCTAAAAACATTGCGATTGCTTGGAAAAAAAGTTCAAACTTTCCAAAATATTTCAAACTAAAAAAAAACATTTTTTTCCCAAAAGTTTTTTTTTTCCAAATTTTTTTTTCAAAATCTAATTTTTTCAAAGTTTAGAACATAATTAATCTTCTTTTAAAAATTTAATTTTTTGTACGGGAAGTTTCAGCAATTTGCCATACATGACTAGTTATAATTAAAAAAAGCGTGCAAATTAGCTACGCATTTGCATTTAAATTACTTATTCACAAATATTAGTTCTTTCTAAAATGGTAGTTTTTTTAGAAGAAAATATTCTTTTTCAGGTTCATTTGGCTGCCGCAGTCATATGTCCAAGTGACGAAGACTCGAAGTCGTTTACCATAAATTGCGCATCTGGTGATATTCTGAAACTGCGGGCAGAAGACGCTAGGGCCAGACAAGAATGGGTTGATGGGCTTCGAGCTATCGCAGAATCTCATACGAAGGTATGGATAAGTAGTGCGCGATAAATATTTGGAAACACACACAGGCACACACTTGTGTATATATATATATATATATATATATATATATATATATTTTAATTTTTATTATAATAAATTACTTTATTATAATAATCACAAAAAGAAATCATAATAATTGTATAGTTTAAATAAGTTTTCCTTGATATTTTTGGCTTTTAAGAAGGTAAGTTTTAAAGTAATAATGAGGTTTCAGGATAAGAGATTTTTCAAACGATTTTTTAATAGAATTTCAGTTTTAATCATCTAATAATTTTTGTGAATTTTATAAGCTAGTCGACTAGTATGGATTGTAAAGGTTAGAGGTAGTATTACATAACTGTTTATAGGTATTCCATATTTCTTTCACTTATTCTGATTATAAATTTTATAAATTCACAAAATCTCAACAAATTCCAAATAAGGGGGCGTCCATTAATCACATGAGGCTTTTAGGGGGAGCGAGGCTTTGACAAAAAATTACGAAATATCAAATGCGGGAGGGAGGGGATTAGTAATATATCACGTGTATTTATTTTTTAGTAATATATCACGTGTATTTATTTTTTACCTGAATTTTCAAAAAAATATACGATTTTTTTGTGCATCCGAAAAATTCGTTTGAAAAATTTTACGTCACTAAAAATACACGTGATGTTTGGTGTGGCAGGGGGGGGGGTAATTTTAAATATCAAGACGTATCACCAAGGAAGAGGGTGGGTCAAAAAATCACGTGATTAATGGATGTTGCCTAAGTGTGAGCCTTATATTTTTGTGATCAGTTCAATGATAACTGTATTTGTACAGAGTGGTAAATAATTGTTTTTGTAACACTAAATCAGATATGATAGTTACTCTCTTCGTCCTTTTAGCTTTTTTTTATTGAAGTTTTGAACGATTTTTATAGAAAATCGAACACTAGTATTGAAAAATTAATAAACCATTCTTTGATATCCAAATGATAAATTAAATTCTTTGTATTGATACACTCGCCGTCCTCTTAATGTGATTGTTCCTTAATTTCTTACTAATTATACTCGGTTTGTTTTGTATCTTGTGCAACCACCCTTTGCCTGGAGTAGTAGACTTTTTTCTTACGTGCCACGTCAGATGCCTTCGAGATGCCAATGTTTCGTGAAGTTTCTTCTTCAATATACAATAAACTTCATTAGGAACTTAGATTTTTGTAAGGCTTAGGTTTTTGATAACCTGATGTGAAAAAATTTGGCTTTTTGACCAGCATTGGTAAAAATATCAGGAGGGACATATTTTGAGGAGCAATATTACGTGTTTCATTTGCTTAGAGGTTTCGAAAATCTGGTGTGTTGTTTTCCGTTTTGAACATATTCTTAAAAAGGTTCTTTTGCTATAATCTCTTGAAATTTGTTGCGAATTTTGGTTCTTCTTCTTTTTTTTTTTTTTTTTTGTGTTTTTATTGGGTTTGATGATAAATGCCAAACCCGATTTAACATATTGTCAGTGTTTTATTTATTTTACAGTTTTTTTTTTTTTGACAAATTGGTCGTTATAATCTTCCTAATACGTTTGAGCGACAAGGAGAAATATTTAATGTATATATATATATATATATATATATATATATATAATTTAATAAATAAAAAATTTCGAAATAAATTTCGTTAATCACAATTGCCCCGTATTGTAGATATTTTTAATCGTGCCATTTGCTTACTTCTGTGAAGTATATCATATATTTAATAGATAATAATACCGCAACATTGCCTAGAACTTATAAGGTGATTTTAAGAAGTTATGGCGAGAACTGCTATATATAGTAAACATGACTTACCATTAATATTATTAGATTTTTCACATTTTACATTTTGAGAAATGAGTAATAGCAGAAGTTCCATTTGGAGTTACTTCCAGAAAATTTTGCTTGAGGCTGCAGAGTGTATGTTTTGCAAAAAGCATTTTAAACGGTTGGGAGGAACCACAAATTCACTCCGGCGACACATGGCGAATAGACATATATCGGCCTCGAAACACAGAACGCCTTCTGCCTCATCGAACACAAAGAAATCAAAGGTACGTGGACCTGATGTTTCATTGTCACATTTATTGATTATTCATTTATCGTATATCGGGGAAAAATATTTTTCACATCCACAAATAATATATATATATATATATATATATATATATATGTATATATATGTATATATATATAGGGCCTAATAATAAGTACTTTCTTTTTCAAGTTTCTGTGGTGAACGAATTCGCTCGATTCACGCGGTGTTATTGTTTTGATAGGTTACAAGAAGCAATAAAAGTGAAAACTTGCCTTGTTTTATGTAATATATAATTTAGTGTGTAATATATATTAAATTGCATATTTCATGGAGAATTCTATAAATTCTGGGCATGACATATGCATGTATATAAATCACAAATATTATTGATATGCATGCATGTATGTATGGGAATATATATATGTATATATATACCTATATATATATATATATATATATATATATATATATATATGTATATATGCATATGTATATACTTATGTAGCAATGTGAAGGGAGCGTTTTTATGAAAATAAAACATCAATTTTTAATGGGAAATTGAAGACATGTTTTCGAAGTATTGGCCATTGCTAGTCGCATCTTTTGTCCATCTTTCAGGCGATTTGTGGATACCGCGGCAAAAGATTTTTTGTCTTTTTAAGCAAACCAATCTGGCACCCACTTTTGGATACCCTCATACGGTGGGTGGGATAGAAGCCCTAGCCAGGGTCTTTGATTACATCCAGAACCGGTTTTGCTTTGTGTGCAGGTGCATTGTCATGGAGCAAAATTACCTTGCCGTGTCTTCTGGCCCATTCTGGTCGTTTTGCGATCAATGCATGGTTCAAATTGATTATCTATTGTAGGTAGCGGTCATTAACAGTTTCACCAGATTTCAACAACTAATAATAAATTACGTCGCTCCGGTCTTACAGGAGCACACAGCATTTTCTTGGTGCCGAATCGATCTGGCTTTACAGTCGATGTTGAAGGTTGTCCCGGATTTATCCTTGATTTTTCCCGTTAAGGATTCTTAAAATAGATCCATTTTTTATCGGCAGTAACAATTCGATGCAAAAAAAGATTTTTTTTTGTCTTTGGAGCTGTTTTTTTGAGAGTTTTTCTGGTTTTCCATGTGCTTTTCATTCAATTCATGTAGCGCCCATTTCCCGGACTTTTGGATTTTTTTCTATAGCTTTTAAGCGGTAAGAAATTGTTGTTTGTGCAACATTTAATATTTCTGTCGTTTGCTTCTGAGTCATAGTGATCTTCATCTAATATTAAATTAATATTAGCTTTCAATTCGGCATCTTCAAACTATTTTGGTGGTCCACGTTCGCTTTCACTCACGTCAAAATCATTACTCTGAACCGTTGAAACCATCTTTTGCATGTTGCTTCTGATAGAGCATGATCGCCATATGCTTGGACAAGCATTCGATGTGACACTCGATGCAGCACTTTTCTTCAAATGAAAACAAAAAAAATCTTTCTGTAAATCATCACTATCTGGTACAAAGTTCGTCATTTTTTTGTACAATGAAAAAGTATGATTTTGTTTGTTCAATGACTCATTTGTTGGAAAATATGCATAACAGATATAATATCAACATACTAAAAAAAAAAATTAAGGCTCGGTAACATCAAATCTTCCGTATCGAGGCATTGGTATGTAGATTCTAGATGTACACTTCATACTGCAACACCTGGTACATCAAAAGTATTGTGAGTGGATGGAATATTAAAGTAACTATGAAATATGAACACACAACACTTTTTTGCACAATTTATTAAATACAGTAAAACCTCCTTATTCGCGGGGGATACATTCCGTATAAATGCTGCGAATAAAGAATCCGCAAATGCAAGATGGCATTTTATATGGAATTGTAGGGGATACGTTCCAAGGTGACAAAATAAAGAAAAATAAATATTGTTGAGAACTATTATGAAATATGCAATATCTTGAGTATAATAGATCCCACATTAAAATTAATTAGTAATACTTTTAGTATCAAATCTAACATTAATATAAAACTTTATATTAATTATGATAATATATTAAAATAAGAGTCGATTTTCAAAAATACCGAGAGTGCCGAAGACAGCCAAGTAAACGGAGGCGTTTTATGTTAAAATTATCTTTATTAGTTCAAAATGACGGCATTTAAAAAAAGATTTTGAGTTCAATATACAATGGAATTCCCGAATAATGAAATTTTTACCCGCGAATATAGGAATTTGGTCGCAATTTTTTTAGTTTTAGCGCGAATAAGGAACTTCTACTGTATATGTATATTTTTATAACAAAGTGTGTTTGTATATGTATACACACATTAATATTTGTTAATATTTTTTATTTAGTTATTATTAATATGATGTCGGTTTGCATGTCATCGCCTTTGTTTGTGAAATCCGCCAAGTTACTATTTAAGTCGTTAATTTATTATACACTATATTATGTAGCAGTTTTCAAGGTTTTGTATATTTATTAAGCTTTATATTGTTTGCATTATGCATTATTGAAATGCGATCTTTGAATAACTAAGTCCACCAAAAATCTACAAAGCATACATCCGAACTGCTTTTTGTTAGTCAAATTCAAAACGGAGTTAGTACCTCATAGTTTCATTAGTGTGCGGTGTTATTTAATATTTCAAAGTAGATGTAATTATTCATTGTATTAGAACTTATTTAAAAACAAAGGGCAAACCCCACTGATCGTCCTTATTATGATTTAACATTGCCATCATCATATATCATTGCTTCTATGAAATCTTTAGATTGTAGTAGTTCACATTCTTTATTCACTTTATTTTTTACCGCATGTGACCAACCAGCCCTTATCCAATCAGCTTTAATTCAGTTAATATTTTTTGTTCAAGTTCTATAGCTAATTTGATGTACGCAGATATGGTTTTTATTATTCGTATACGCATATTTGCTTCAGCGTAATCCCTTTGTAACGCCTGCCGAACCCACGCATGTTTTCAGATGGAAATCCGATATTTTGCCTTAAAATCTCCGTTTCTTGAAAATGAGAAGTCCCATACTCGAATATATAAAATAAATTTGCAGTCGAGATAAAAAACAATAATTAATTTCACTATTTATGATGTACGTTTCGACACTGTATATGTGAGTGTCGTCATTCAACGGGTAAACGAGTTCTGAAAATTTGTTTCTAAGTTTATAAAAATCAAAGGGTACTGAACGTTAAATTAATTTGAACTAGGAATAACACACTAAATTAAACACATTGTTTTATAACATTTCTTGAAAAATGTTGAATATTGGGATGGGATAGGAACAAATCACAATAAAACTTTTTTCTACATAAAAACTAAATCAAAATATACCAAATAAAAATGAAAATTATAGAGACAAATAATAAAATATTGTAGTTAACCACAAAATTTAAACCTTGTAATTATAAATTTCTTCATCTTGTAAATATCTTTTTTATGACTTCTTAACTGCTGAATGGCGACACACATACAGTGTCGAAACGTACATAATTAATAGTCAAATTAATTGTTTTTTATTTGAAGCATTTAGCTTTAAATAAACATTTCAAAAATATGCTTCGGCGTCGAATAAAATATAGAATGTGTGTGGTATATACATATGTGGGTGGTAATGTCCTACGGCAAATCCGTGAGCTAAATTAAACTCGAACTCCATTCAGGGAATAATAGTGTGAAGGATTTTCCTATGCACTTTTTACCGCAGTACTCGAAATGCGCTTATTTTCAATTGTAAACATATTTCTCACCAATATTTTCAAGTTAAAATGAACATCGCTGCTGCCCGATGTCAGGTTGCCGGAGCGGGGGCTTAAACTTATGACTACACTACGCTGCGCGTTAGCTAACTATATATTGTTACGTATCGATTTATACATATATATTATATATATATATATATATATATATATATATATATATTCATCAACCAATTTTGTTAGATGTTATAGTGAATATCAAAATAAGTTCAAATTAAACAAAATATTTTTTATGTAAACATTTATTTCCTCGCACTTTTACGTACACTTAGATATTGTTATTTACACGAAAGCTACACAACTACCCATTTTCTATATCAATTCTGATTTATATAAACTTTTATTCTTTACTACCCTTGATTTTGAATATGAAAAAAGAATTTCTTTATATGTGTGAGGGCAAGTCGAGTTCTTACCCGTTCGGATTTTATGGGAATTACTGCGTAGTATGCAGTTAATTGATAAAAGTTTATTACAAAGTAATGACTATTCTTATGATGAATGCAATACAATTAAGAATATGATTTATTGCGTAGTGGGTTCTTAATATATTAGTAAGGCGCGCGTTACATCATATTCGGATGTGAAATTTATAATATATTATACACACACACACACACATATATATATATATATATATATATATATATATATATATATATTGAAATATGTATATAATCTAGAATACTTAATAAATTATAGTGAACAATCTGACTTAACTATGGCCACAAAAAGCATATTTCGTTTGCAATGTGATATCAGTAGATGCAATTTATCAATTAATAACTCTGCAAATTTAATTTTTTCTTCGTTTGAAATTAACCAGAAATCGAAAAAGAAATTATCTAGTGTCCAATTCGGTAAGCGCAAACCTGCGCAAGATTAAAAAAACAAGCAGGGTCTCTTAGCAAATTTAGAACTACAATATAGTTTAGTTGTTGAAACTAAGAAAACTGTAATATTTTGAAATTTAGATGACCCAGCTGAGTAGGGCATTATTGGCGGAAAATGGCAAGTTGATTATTTGAAATGGAAGTTATTAGAACAATAGATAGAGCAAAACGGAAAATAGGGAGTCAGTCAGTACCTAGAAAATGTCATATTTATTCTAAGAATTTGAATCGTGACTTTTGTTTTTGTTTAAACGTTTCGCATCTGATGAACCAGTAGACTAGACTTATAGAAGGTTATTACGACAGAAGAAATCTTACAATTATTACAACTTTGCTATAT